AAAAGTCCAGGAAAAGTCTGCTTTTTGAGAAAAAAAATTGCATGAATAGAGATGCATAGATTTTAAGTTTGTAAATTTCAATATTTTCAGGCTCTCACAGGACATCACTACCTGAGTGCTACCCCAGAGAATCAGTAGTGGAAAATGCAGTCAAAGATGGCTGTCAGTTTGGAAGAAGCAGGACATAGAGTGATTTATTTCTGAGCAAAAGCAGTAATGAGATTCTGTAACATTAACACTACAGGAAAAACTGAAATAGTAGAGAGAAGAGGTTGTGCTTTTTCATTCAAAGTGTATGCTAAATGTCTGTTGTTCAATTAAAAAAAAAATCTTTAATGGAATCTGGGAAGAAATCCCATGATAAAATTAAAATTTTGGCAATTCTTTAATCTCTGACTTCAGTCTGGTCCCTGTAGAGGTAGGGATGTCATAGGAGAGGCTTTGGAAACAATTGCTGGGAAGTAGTGAGATTTCCACAAACTCAGAGTACACTAACCGAACTTGATTTTTCAGTAGCCTTGTCTACGGTGAAATATGGACTGAAATTTTTAGTCATGCACACTTTTTGTAGAGACTAACAAAAATCAGTACTACTGAGTACATTGACACCATTCTTTTTACTCTCTGCTGTTGTTGAGGTGTCAGGCCTGAATGGGACTATGTTTATAGGCACTAGGATAGTGCTGCTCAAATTATCAAAGAAAAATATGGTGATAAGAAGACAGAGATTAGAAGCAGAAAGTCCAAGGGAAAAATACAGTATCATGGGTATTGTGCAAAAAACCATGTTAGAGATATCTGTTTCAGCCTGTTGCATATGTCAGAGATGTTGAAGATCAAGTTAAAAGAAAGATTCTTGTTGATACAACTTGTAAAGATTCTTCCATGGGACCAAAGCTGTAATAGATTTAGATAGAAGCTAGTTCTGGGCTAAGTCACATTTCCAAGACTGCCCTTTGGAAGCTACTTTAGGCAAAATACAGTCATATATATAAGTTTATTTTCTCTTAGCACAGTAAGTTTAACATCTGATAATCACCCATATTGTAGCAGACATAAATTCAAACATATTATTAGATTTAATATTCTGACTATCACCTTGGAATACATACACTGATCTTATGTAGTGGTTTAACAAAGGGAATTAATCAGACTATAATACACAGAGGATACAAATCACAAAGGACCAGCTCTGTCACCTTTAGTTGCCCCATAAGTGTTGAACTACCTGTGTATTTTATGCTTGGATGTGCTTCATCTCAGATCTGGAGAACTACTATATTCTATACTAACAGTAGTTTCCAAAAGAAATGTGTTTAGATGTAACAATTTTGGATTAGATCTCTTTAATTTCTCTCTCAGTCTGACAAACATGCTCAGCAGACACACAGAACTATGGAAAAGGAAAAATCCCCCAGTCCCCAAACCAAAAGCCACAGACTGGGACAAAATACTTGTCAGAACTGAGAAATTATCAGAAGTACTTAATTTCTTAGATTCTTGATGAATCCTACAGAGTCATTTACAATTAAAATGAAGAAACTCTTAGAAGCCTTGTCTTAGGTTTGGTTGTGGGAAAAAAAAATCTTGATTTCTAAATGCTTAGACTCCATTTTTGATTGCCTAAATCAACAACTTTTCCAGCCTCAGATTGCTCAATAAAAAAAAGCACAATGATTTTGAACATTATTTTAATTAAATATAGAAAATTAACTTTGAAATATCATAGCAAGTTAGGGCTTTATTGGAGGGATTTTATAAGTTTCACCTGTAAGAGCTGGGGCCGGGATTTGGAGGTGGGACTGTGCACTGACAGTGTTGTGAGTGCAGTGACAGCCCACCATACGTGCCCATTGTTTTGTATCATTAGCACTGTAGTGAATCTCAGAAAAAAAAGAAAATGTCCAGTCTTTTTTATTACTTCACTTTCCCCCCCTCTTTTTTATTTTTTCTTTATAAAGCACCTAATTTAGGCCACAGACAAAAAGAAAATGTATCTTGAATATGCATCACAGGTTCCAAAAATGAAAAGAAATTGGATTTGGATAGCACTTACTCAATAGACAGATATGATACATGGTAAGAAGGTGCACTGTCTGCCCTGTGATAGATTAAACTACTTTGTAGGAAAATTACTGTGAGCCAGTCACCACCACCACCGTGGCTAAATCTTTAATAAAATTCTCTTCCATATTCAAGAGCGAGGTATGAAGTACACAATAAGCAGAGAGGAGTAGAGTGCCATTTATCAAACCACAGCTAGGTCTGTAATCTCCTGCTTTATCCTTTTTTAGTACTTTATTTGTCTTTATTGTTGCAAGGAAGCACATTTACCCAGGGCAGTGGGCTTTTGGTGCTGATAAACCTTTTTGCTTTAAATTCTACCTGTGGGGTTTTTTTCTTTTTTCCTTATTTTCTTTTTTTTCCCCCCCTTTTTTGTTTTTCCTTCTTGATCAGATACACATCTGGTCACTCTATGGGAGTAATTAGTCTGTTTTGGTGGTCCCTGACTTGTTACATATTCTTTCACCCTTCCTTGCCTGACCTGACCCTACCTCTTTCATCTCTATGCTACAAAAAGAAAGGGGAAAAAAAAGATATTATAACAGCTAAGACATTTTAAAGAGAATACTCATGCCTGTGCAGAAGACGGTCTGGGGTGTATTGCATAATGCTTTTTTGAGACTATTTGGCAAGATGGCAGTGTTGAATCATGTTGCAGTTGGCCCCTGGGTGGCACTACATGGCTAGATCTGGGACCAACAAAACCAGTTTTGGATAAATGCAGAAAACATAATTGAAGCATTTTTCTTCCTAAAAATTAAAGACTTTAACTAAATTTGTTGTTATTTGCTGAATTCAACACAAATTCACAGTATTAATAAGTTGTGTTCCTCTAATTGAATGACATTCCAAAATGTTCCCTGTGTCTTGACTACCTGGTAATATCTGGATCATTTCTGGGAACACCCTGATATTAAGTACAGATTCAGTGGAAGGGTTCCTATGGGTAGAAGTATGTGACTGGAACTGCTTTGTGCTGCCTGAATATGCATACTACCAGTCTGTGCTGCAGCCCTGGGGGTGATTTTTTTAGTACTATTATAACCCTTTTTATTGTTTGAATAGCAGTTTTATGACAAAACATTTATATTCAGCCTGCCTTTGTACTTGACTGAAAGAGAGCAATCACTGAGAATGATAAGGCAACAATGGTAATGATAACTGCATTTATGGAGGCTTACAGAATTTAAACGGGCATGCAAAAATAGACTTACAATAGTGCTCTACCTGTATTTGAACTGGCTTGGGTATATTTCTTGTGCCTGGCCCATGTTTGATTGTTGATGGATATGTTGCATTTTCTCCTGTTTTTCTCTCTCATGGCATTTTTTCTGTATGAGTCTTACCTGTGTGAACATCAGGTTTATCTTAGCACTGAAAGGTGTCCAAGTAAAATGGAGGAATATAACATTTTTCAAGATCCACATCCCAGAAATTATTGCTTAATTTACATATTAAGATTTCAGAGTTTGTGGTATTATGATCTTGCATCAGAATGGTCATTATCTGTCTTTCAAGGTTCTACCTCTCAAGAAAATAGGCAATTCTTTCACTATCCCTTGAGAAAAAGTAAGAAATAATACTGGACATAGGAAAGCAATCCAAGAGTTTAAGATCAGTCCTTCTGTTGTTAAATATTATTAAGGCAAATCAATTCTAATTTTTTCTTCCTTTGCTATGAAGTTTTCTCTCCTCTATGGTTCACTCAGACATATCCACAAGGACACACATGCACCCACATTTGTGTATTTCCTTAAAATTTCTTGCTTACACAAGAACATAAGACAGCAATGAGAAGGTTCTTTGTGTTCTGGGAGGAAACAAATAGTTCCTGGACCTCCAAATTTTGTGTGAGGGAAACAAAATTACACCAAAGTCTGCATATATTTTAGTATGGGTTATGAAGAAAGGAGGTGTGCACTATACATTGTCCTAAAGATATTTTAAGGCTACGTCCAGCCACACTGCTCACAGACTGCAAAGTAGACTTACTGGTGCTAGAGGGTTTCTTACCAAGGAAGAGACTGCTCTCATGGACTTAGAATGACACATTCAGCCTATTCACCTAGATTTTTTTTCAATATTTTGGAATCATTTTTTGAGGGAGCTATTTTATATAAAGACCCCTTTCTGTAAACAAACCAATGTATATTTTTATAGAAGTGAATGACAGTTTTAAAGACCTTTCAAATTTTGAGCCATACATTTAGGTTTTATTGTTTTTGAGAGATGGGAACCTCAGTACAGCCCAATTTCTTCCATACTTTAGTTTTCCTATGATATAATTTCTGTCTTGACCTGTATTTTAATTTTTCTGTATTTACCCATCCATTAGAAGTTTACAGTATATAATATCTAGGTCAAAAAACATTGTGAAAATTAAGTGAATAGAAATGTAAAAAAAAAAAGGTTGGTAAAATCAAATATATCTTTTATTTTATTTGTGTCTTATTTTTCTATTTCAGAAGCTCACTAACTACACTCCATTTTTTAATGTATGTATATGATCATTGCATGTTAACCTCTTCATGTGCTTGTCTGCACTATTTAGGCTTTAAATATGCTTAAATTAATAATTCAAATTCTCTTTTGCAAACGAAATATAAGTAATGCAAACATGAATTCACTTTGCCTTATAGTATTCTGGAATGCTGCATTCAAAGAAACGTCATTTTCTACTAAATGTCTTTCTAATACTTCTGTGCAAATGATACCTTTTCCCCAGGCCCAGCTACTTAGTGGATATTATTGAACAAATGTCTTTTATAGGATCGAAAAAAGTGAGGCATTATGTGAAAGAAATTTTTGAAAATGTGCATGGACTATTTCGGAATATGCTTAGTGAATATTAAGCAAACACCTGAAGTTCCTGTGCTGCTGCCTAGAACCAGCACTTCATTACCTATTACGTGCAGTGACTTTGAATTTTTTATTAGGTACTGGTCTCTTAGCCTGTAAGGCTTGTGCATGATGTCTATGAGAGCAATTTCCAGCCGAGCAAAGCCTTATCACAGATTCACCTAAAAGGTAAGGATATTTTTTAATTTTTAGTTCACATGCTGAACAGCTGCCTGCTGAACACCTGCCCACGGAGCAGGAAAGAAATTTGGTTTAAGGGTTGATTATGCATGTCTTACTCATATACAGTAAGTCCAGAAATAGGCATGATGAACTTCAGATAAACCCAGAATATGCAAATGCAAAGTACAATACCAGAATATTTACCCCCTAATTTTGTGCTCCACTACATTTTTAGTGCTTTTTTCTTTTTTTTATTTTCAGGTTGGTGAGGACATAGGAGAAAGGCTTATATATGCTTCTGATTTATTTAGTTTCTCCCAAATCTGCAGTGTTAATATTTTAAAAAAAGCAAAGTTGAACTATGAATCTGGCAGGTAATGTAAAAGAATCATTGTGCTTGGCATTCCTCATATTTGCTAAGGATGTTAACAAATATGAAGAAGTATTGGGAAAAACCAGCAAAGATGGAGGAAATGATGAAAAATCAAGAAAGATAACTAATCAGAATGTGAGGAGAAAAGACACAACAGTAAACCTAGAGATCCTAGGAATGAAGGAATGATTTGATTACTTTTTCACTGAAAATGGCTGAAATAGACTTTTGAGAGTAAGGGACCTTATTACAATGGATCGTGAGTGATGAGTTTTAAGACTATTAGCTTGAGAAATTCAAATCAGGTAATTTGGGGGTAAAAAAGTCTCAAGAAAGCATGGGCTACATTCTGAATGTGGTGATAAACTGATGGTTAAAAAAACAGACTTTGGTAAAAAAATAGGAGTGACAAACTTTGAAACCCAAGACCAACAGGGATCTTCTTGGTCTCCAATTTTCTCATAGCATAGCATCATAAATTTAGCAGAAATAACTTTCATCTTAGAAGTTTTTGCTTTTTGTGATAGCAGTCTTGTCTTGGACTTTCTTTTAGAAACCGATTTACTTTTCCACTTTTTTTTTTTTTTTTTCATTTCCAATTTATAAATAACTTTTGTGCCAAAAACTGCATCTGGATTAGTAACTGTCTTTCAGTCTGATGTTTTATATTTCAGAACAACTTATTGCCATTTCTTCTTTAGCCAATCCTTATCCACCTTTCAATTTCACTGCTTGCCTAAGAGTTTTCAACTTTAACTAAAATTTTCACACGTGTTGTTTCATGAAATGCCTTGCTGAAATCCAGATGGATATTTCCTCAAGCACATCAGTTATCTTATTAAAAGAAAGCTATTGGTTTAGTCTTCCTGCAAATAGTATATGCTGCATTCTAAAGCTGGAAATGTCTCCTTTTCTTGATCATAGGAAACCAGAGATTTTAGTGATTGTGTAATGAAATCATTGCTCACGCAAAGGGAGAGCCTTGTCATCCACACTTTCTGAGCAGAGAATTTGGGTCATGCCATTTAAAATAAGGTTTTCTTGAAAGAAGTCTCTTTTTGATACTGGGACCTTAATCCATTCCCCAATCAGACTGAGCATGCATACCATGACAAATCTTTCCTCCATTAAAATCATTTGCCATCCTAAAATGAATTAGCTGAATCAATGTACTCTTCCCAAGGTTTCCCTGAGGAGACAGGAGCAGCTGCTGGAAAAGCAAGTGCTGCCTGAGCAGTCAGGCACCAAGGCAATGAGGCCAGCCCTGGTGTCACCAGGGAGCAAGAAGGTCCCTTGCAGGGAACTGGGGGAGCAGGTTACTCATGGGTACCATAGTTGTGCTGAGGAAAAACCAAGAATCAGCTGTGACTGTCAGAACTGGCAAAGCTGTGCATTCCTGGAAATGTATAACAGTAACACAAACTCCCGGGCAGCAAGATAAGAAAGAATGCTGCTGCTGTTTCTGATGTGTCATGCTCTTCTAACTACTTGAACTTCTTGAACAACTGTGTGTGATATCTTCAATTAGTGAATTAGATTAATATGTTCTCATGGCTAGTTTGAGGTAAAATTTCTTACTATTTTGTTTCTTATGCTTGATAGATATCACAATATGTAATTATGGATGTATTTAATAATGAGCATATTCTCCACCTCTTTCTGAAGACTGTTTTTGTCTAAAGACCTGCAGTGCTGCAGAGAATAGGAAGAAACAAGGTAAAAAAAGAAAAAGTCAGACATAAATAAGTTGAAAAATCTGAGCTGGATGCTTTCGATTGGCTTAGTTTGCACAAATTAGCAGACTAGAATTTCTGCAGAGGTGGTAAATATACTGATTTTTTTTTTTTTTTTTTCTAAATTGAAATTGAAAAAAACAATGTCATGGAACAACTATTTTTTCAATTGAAAAATATTGTTGGCAGATTTTTATGGCTTAGTATTTTTTCTTTTTTATTCTCTGAAAATGAATAATTTTTAAAGAAAGACTGTGTAAACACATTGAGCTTTACAATTAAAATTTGTAAATTTTAATTTGTAAATTTTAATTTTAAAATTTTTAAATTTTTAAATTTTATTTTTGTTCTCAGCCTCAGAAGAGCCAATGCTAGAACTTGATTTGGAATTCTCCATCAAAATTATTTTTCAATAGAAATAATTCATGCTTTGAAATTAGAAGTGGCATTAGTATGAGTTGACAGTAGAAGTCCCCCAATTTAGTTTGAAAATTAATTCTTGACATTTCTGCAATTAGAAAACTGAAAGTTTGAAAGGTGAATTTTTTTTAAAGTGTAGCTTTAAATAAAACCCTTTGGTCATAATAATTTTCTAATTTGTACTAAAAATTTCAAGTCAATATAAAATATTTGGAGTGTTTTCAAATTACTGAGTACATATATGTAAAATTTTCATAGTTTATAATTTTTTCCTGATTATTTCAATAGGATGGTATTTTGAAAATTAAAATTATTTTTCCTGTGTACCCCATTTCCTTGTGATGTTTGCTTGATGTACACTATCACCTAGTCTTTCAACACGTCTCCTTAAGCAGAGTATTTTAGTGTTTACATGAGACTTTATTTCAGTAAGCAGCTGAAGTAGTTTCTGTTTGTATGGCACACACTTGTACAAGTTACAGATTTGTGTATTGTGAAATGACTGAATGTGATTATGAAAATCTCACTTGTTTGACTTATGATGGTTACTTTCACCAGCAAATAATGTAATTTTCAGTATATGACACTGATTCCCTCTTATGCATTTTTTTCTCTCATTATCAAATTGACGGTGCATTTAAATATCAAGGCTCTATTTCTTTTCTTGGTAGTCATTTGAGCTGTTAGGATTGTTCTTTTTATAAAAACTGGGTCTTTTCTTAAAACCTCTTTCTTTGTTCAGCACAACTTTAATGTGTGGGACATATCTCCTTTCATCACAGCAGGGGACTCTGTGTATATGTGGGATAAACTAGTTCCATATTAGCAATGTGGAATTGCTTGAGCTTGTTTGCATATGTTGATAGTGCCTTTTGTGATGGTAAGTTTTGGGGAATTCTGTCAGCAATATTTTTTTCTTCTCAATAGTTAATTCATATCCTGTAAAGATGCTGTTCCCATTAAGCCTAAATGCTATTTTTATTATCTGTGGATATAGGATATGTTGTTAATAGCACAAAAATAAACTAATCTCAAGTCAATGGTTAGTTTTGATGATTGAAATGCCAACACTATAACTTACTTTTTGCTGCTTAAAAGAGAATGTCCCATAGTTGCTCTGTTGAAAACTTTTAGGGTTGTTTGGAATATGTGGGTGTAAGAGTTTATTCAGGGAGCTGAAGCTGTGAAAGCACTTAGGCCATGTGAGTCTCCACATTGCACACTAAGAGTTTGATACATGGAGAACTTCAGTGGGAATCTCTCACAGCAGGTCAGGTGCCAGGGCTCCTTGTGAAATGTCTGCAAGGGAACTTGTGTGCTCCAGTAAAGAGGAGTTTGGGAATTTAAGTCAGGTTTAGGTAAACAAGTACTCACCTTGGCTGGTTGGTGCAGCTTTAGAGGTGCATGGAAAACGGAACCTAGGCAATTTAGGGGTATTAGTGATAAAAGTTTATGTATTTATGTATATATTTTTATGTCTTCACATTACACACCACTGTTTGATCCAAGTCCCACTTCAGATACCTCACTTGATTTGTAAATCTTACTCTTTCCTTCCTATTTTATCTAAAGATGTGTGTTGATATAAATGATCACTTTAAGTTACTTTTTAATTTATCATTAGAGCAATCTTGACCACTTTACTTGGGAGTGCTCTGCTGTGCCCATTAGAAGATATAAAGAGGAGAGTGAACCTTTTGTTATTTCTGTAGAAAAATTAATTTTCTAATTTGAATTTTTAAGTCTGCCTAAAGAATGTCAAACTTCATTGTGGCTACACTATCAAATCCTCTTGATTTAATGACATTTTTAAGGTTGATCTTATTCTTATCTATTAAAAAAATTATTTTGGACTAAATTTTTTATGGGAATGACAGGAGTGAATATGCAGGGAGGCTGTTAGGAACATACACTATGCTATGCAAAAGACCAGAAAAGAAATAATTTACCTAGGAAGATCTTTTTTTAAGAAACCTGCCAGCAAGCTTTTTCCTTCCTATAAGGTTCACATTTAAACAATTTCTAATGTTGACTTTTGGCCAACAATGTCTCTTTCTCCTTCTATGATTGAAAGGAACAGCTTAGTAATAAAAACTAATTGCTATGTCTTTCACATTCATGTCCGAGAAGACATGCAATTTGTAGAAGAAAATTACAAATCACATTATAAATTGCTTAAGAATTTCAAGAAAAACAACAACTTCTGGAAGAAACCATGAGAAAAGTATAAGGGAGTAATATTTTTTCAGAAGCTTAGACATGGTATTTCCTTTTTTTGAATATCTGTGATACCTCATAGAGGAAGTTTTAAAGTTGAATGACAATTTCCATCATGAAAAGAAAAGGAAGATTTTTTGGTGAGGTCGAAAGAAAATGAGAATATTTCTTATGTGGACTATTTGAAGGAAAATATGTGTCTGCATCCAAACTATTACTAAACTAAATACAAATTCACCTACACATTTGCCTCACAAAGCATGTGATTTATTCGCATTAATGAAGTGTATTGGTGAGGAATTCTGAGGGAATGGGTATGAACTGGTCTTGCTTATAACAGTGACGATATTGCAGTCACCAGGCTTTGAAGTGGCAGTGCCTGATTTTTCTAAAGTATAGTTGGGAAATGCTAATTTGAAGCACCAGGTTCATAGCAAGGGAAAAATATTCAAGAGATCAATTATCACTCCTGACTCACAGTGTGTTCAAGCTGTCTTTATGACTTGTCTGTGAGACAATAATTTGATTTGACAGGCAGATTGGATGTTATTAAAGGTAAAGGATTTCAGTTCCTTTAATGGACATGCAAGGTGTTACCAAGATCTTCTTGAAGAGAGCCAAGAGAACTGTGGCACTAGTCTGGTCTGCAGGTGAAGGAGCTGGAAAATTTCCCAGTTTTGTAATTGGGTGGTGAGTTAATTGTATATAGTTGTCCACAGAGGGCATTAACTAACAAAATACATCTCTCACATTAAACATTAAAGTTGATACAAGCACCTTTTTCAAGGAAAAGAGGAATTAACAGTTTAGACTGAGGGCTCTGTCGTGCTACTGGTGTTATTATATTATTTTTTATTATCTAGTATGAAAAATTCATTACCATCTGGATCCCATTTTACTAGATACTGTATATTCATATAAACTAAAAGAAACTTATATAGAATTATGAAAACAAAAGAGAAAAGTATTGAAAACTAGATAGATATAGGAGACTAAAAGAAGTAAATCATGTATGATTCCACCATGCATTAGAAACCTTTTATGAATGAGTAAAGCATAAGAAAATTTTATTTGGGATTCTCTGGAAATGTTCCTTGGGAAAAAAAAAAAAAAAAAAAACACCTCACTTCATTATTACTTCACCAAAAAAGGCAAGTACTGATCTGATCATGAAAACATTTAGGATTTAGTGATCCTCAACTGTACTTTATGAGGTCTGTTTCATTATTTTGCAAGTGGTGAAATTGGTACAAACGCATGATCTCCTTTTAGGAAAGTTTGCCTCTTTTATATAAACCCCAAGGTATTTAGGCATATCTAAAGAGGTTTTTTTTTCAAATTTTTGGTGAATTATGTATTATTTCTTACAATATAAATTTATGAGGGACCATACACTCCACTAAGGGCCTGTGTTCTGAGCATTTTACTGCTGTCCAATTTTAAAATACGTTTTTTCAGACATTTAAGAGCAAAAGTTTAGAAAATGTGTGATTCATGAAAGTCCTTCCATAAACATCCACTACCAGCTAGTAAACCATCTAAGCCTTTTAGGCTGCTCCTTTGAATTTTTAGAAATATTCATAATAGTAACAAGTACCCATTACCAGGATTTTTTAATATATTTTCTCCTATCAAAGAATGTATTTCTATTGTGCTCTAATTCTAACCCTTACTGTGTTGATTTTTTTTTAGGAAGAGCAAATATTAGTAAATGCATAGGTAAACTTACCAATTAAATCTACTTGTAATTAAGCAAATGTAAATTGCCATATGCTCAGTAAATTTCATAACCATGAAGATAATTATTACCATACTGGTCTTATAATGGTCTGACTTTCAAAACAGGTGGGATATTCTTTGTCTTTTTGGTTTTTACTAGTGGTTTTGGGGAAAATGCTAAAAGTGGTTCAAAACGTTAAGAAGAGTAAAACTGTTTTCAAATTTACCAATGCAGACTTAAAAAAACTATAAATTTCTGTCCTTGCAGGTAAGGGTAAACAAGAAATAATTTTCAATCTGTCCCATGCAAGCTACAAATCTAAAGGTGAGGCAATTAAAAAAGTTTCTTCAACTTTTGAATTGCACTTACATGAATCTTTACAAAAAAAGAAGGAAAATATTGAAGATATTGACACTGAAACTTCCCTTTCTGAAACAGGCCATTTTAGTCTTATTCCTTTAGACAATCCTACAATGTCTGAAGGAAAAATATATAAAAATGTGGATGTGCTTAAATAGTAGTCTAAAAAGGAGAGTGAAAGGAATTTTTTTATAATTTAACCAGTCATAAAGATAACTCATCCGACTGTGTATCCCAAATTACTGTCATCTATGTCTCTGACATGCCCTTAGTCATCCTATGATTTCCCTCAGTCTGTTCATGGTTATTAAATACTGAGATATTGTCAAATATAGTGGATACTATATATGTATATTGATATTGCTTTTTAATCTGTATTATGGACACTGGGAATAGTCTGTTTTTCTTGCTAAATTGGCATACACTACTCCATAAGTAGTTACCCTCTCTGAGAAGTAAAAATACAAATGCTTAAAGTACTGTCAAATATGAAAGGGCTTTCCAAACTGCACACCATTAGTGACACCAAAGTCCTTTCAAAATACCATTAAACCTTTCACAGATCTCCTTCTGCTAATGATAACTACTATGGCTCTTATCAATGCAATTGATGGTACCAAACAATTGGATTTTCCAAAAACTTGATCAAGGGAGAGTTATGGATGTGCAGTATGCATTTAAGTCTATGGCTATCGGCCTGAGGAAGAGCTGCCTTCCTTTGGATTAGAAGCAGAGAGGAGGACGCTGGAGCTGGTGATGTAGTTTTGTTTTGTTTCACTTCTGAAGTGAAATGAAATAAAGAATAGCAGTTAAAATGAATCTGTCAGGGAAATTATGGATATTTTCATTCCCACTAAAAATAATTTGGTAACTTTTTAAAAATCTGCTTTGGAATATATTATAGAAACATTTTTTAAAAAGATGGAATATTCTTGTGAAAGACCTTTAATTCTTTGCCTTCATCCTTCCTTATTCTCTTCACTTACTCTTTCCCCAGGTTTGGGTGAGAGTTTCTGCTAAAGTTGGTAATAAAAAAACCAAACCAAACAAAAAAAACCCAAAACAACAACAAACTCAACAAGACAAACAAACAAAAACCCCACAACAAACCCTGAATGTCAACAGAAGATTTACAGAGGAATGCAATCAAGAACGACGTTGCAAATCAAGTCTAGAATCAGACTATCAAGAATTCAAAAAACTTTCAGCTGTTTGCAATTACGGTGGTAATTGCTATTTTAAAATGTTTTCCTTTTCCCAAAGAAATGCTGTGTTGTTAGCTGAAATTTTAGGGATTTTAAATCACAGCAAATCTCTGTGCAGCTGATGAAGGCTAAATATTATAGGCAATCAAAACAACATATTATCTACATATTTCAGCTGATTAAAAAAAAAGTAGCTTTTGGAACTTCTTTAAGAAGTTATTTTACTATGTAGTTCTAGCTAATTACAGCATATTTTTCAGACCAAAACATCAGCATTAGATATTTTAAAGCAAAATGTGACGGATTTTTAAGGAAATTGCACCTGAGGTTTTGCTATGTTGTTTTACTCTAAAAAATGATTCCTTTTCTTTCTGTTGTGAATCAGTTTTGCAGGGAAGTATTGGTTGTAACCAATGTTTAATACATAAAATTAACATTTCCTTAAAAATACTGTAATTTAAAGATTGATGTATCAACATCACATAATGTGAGTGGAAGGTGTCCCTGCACATGGCATAGGGCTTGCAACTGGATGATCTTTAGAGTCCTTTCAAACCCAGGCCATTCAATGGATCTGTGATTCTGCTGGGTGTTTTCTTTTAGCAACAGTTCATTAGCTGATGTCTGAAGAACAGATATAAAGGTAAAATTATAAAATGTCTGTTTGATCAATACTCAGCAGATTTACAGAACTTGTTTTTAAGATTTATTTAAGAAAAAAAAGCAAATGAGTATTTTTATAACAGTTATTATATACCCACTAAGTCTGCATGAAGCAAATGCAAAGGATTGGCAGGGCAGTGATGACACAGCACTGGTGCCACTGCAGTAGGATCAATGTTGCTGGCAGAGCCCTGTGTGGAATTTTTTTGAAGTTGCAGGCAAACTTTTAGTGCAGGATCCTGACTTACAGACCTTATTTACAGAACAGTCAGAATGAGACACTGTAATAAAGTACTAAAGTTACACTGTGTAAGTTTTGTCCTGTGATTGGGGTTTTGTTCATTTGTTTGGGTTTTTGTTTGTTTTTTCCTGAAGTATGGCTGGAAGGTGTCTGTAAGTTTAGGATAAAGGAAAATTTTTAGACACCAAAACAACTGCAACTAACTGTTGGTATAAAATTGAGACTTTGGTTAATCTATTAAGCACCTAATTTTGTACTCCATTTTGGCCTCATTGAGGCCAAGAGCTTCATAAATATTTAGCATCTTTAGTAAGCTTGTGTGACACTTTCAGACAAAACAAAGCCAATAATCTTAAAAACAAAGCAAAAAGGTTTTACAGGCTGAAACCACATGAAACCACATAATGTTGTTTAATCTGTAGTACTAAATTATTAAATCCTTCAAGGTAGAGAAATCTCATATAATTGAAAAAGTATTTTGGAAAATGACTTTTCAACATTAGAGCAAAACTGTTAAGTGTGAAAATATGATTTTAATCAGGGTATGTATGTTGGGGTTTTTCTTACAAGTAAGCTAGTCTTGTGAATCATTGAAGAAGGTCACTTGAAACTTATTTTTATGATCTGCAGGATACAGGAAAGTTAGGGAGGAAAAAACCTATCATGACCTTTTGAGTTTTGAGTATATGTTGCTTTTCTGAGTTTGTAAGTAGCTTGTATTTTTATAACTAAAAAGTGGGCTAGAACAAAGCCCAAAAATACATTTGGATCACATTTATAATAAGGCTACATATTTAGAAACAGATCTCTCATACATCATCTTATGCATTAAGCAATAAAGGGATTTCAGCAGAGGTCTTTGGTTTGTAGGACCTATAAACCTGAAATTAATTATGAAAGAGATACCATGGAGGTTTTTCCCTCTTACAAGAAGTCTCTAAGTCTGATATGACGTGAAACTATATGAATGAGAAAACAATCATTGTTTCCGATATAAAAAGCCCGAAAGTAAATCTGTAGTATTGCAACCGTGCTTGGGACAACGCCACTCATTTTATCCTATGGAATTCCGGAGCCAGCTGATAGATTAATCACTTCTGACAGTAGCTCACTTTTTGACCTGTGTGGCGAGGAGAATGTCACAGCAGCAGGAGAGGTTCTGTGATAATTGGAAAGTGAAGGGGACTTGGTGGTGCAGTAGCTTAGTGCATTAGCCTTTCCCCTCTGGAGACCTTGCTTCCCATTCTGCCTTAGGGTCACTAGTGAAAATTCATGCTTTGGTATCCTACCTCTATTTGTACATATGACACTAAAAGGCCCCTATTTGGAAAAATGTTGTCTTTCTTCACTATAAAATGCTCTATTGGCCAGGATCTTAGGCCAATGTACATTGGTAGAGAACTTAAAAAGCTTTAATTCCTGAAATATGTGTCTGCCAAGATCACCTCCCTGGAAGAGCATTCACTCAATATATTAATAAAAGGGGAAAAAAAAGGAAAATCTTCTAAGCTGATATGCATGAAAATAATGCAAATAATGAAGGAAACTCATTTGCAATATAGAAGCTGCAGTGATATTTTCCCCATTTCCATTTGGAATTAACGCCTGCTAATCTTTCTTGCACTGAAGTTATATTTATCTTAAACTGTTTTACTTGAACCTCCTTCTGACTAAGATTTTCAAGTGCCAGAGAAGTGCTATTTCATATGCAGTGGAGTGGAGCAGTGATGACATGCAGTGATTAATTAATTCAAAAAGTACATGTTCCCTAAAGGTATCCTGGGAACCACTTTCCAAGCCTCTAAAAAAGAAACATATTGCCTGCATTTACAGGTGGTAGTAAGCTGAATATAGATTGGTTATCAGTGATGTACTGCCTTTTATTACATCTGAAGTGCTTACTCTTACTGCCTTGTAACGAGGGTGCTGCAACTAATTGTGCTTAATGATCCAATGCAAAGAGCCTGAATTTTATATTATTAACTCCTCCTATGTTTATCTTTTCATCTCCTTCAAAATTTGCAAGTTCCGAGTTACATTAGGGATTTGATGCAATGTGTGAACACCTTAACTTGAAAATCCCCACAAAAATGTTAGCTGTGTTTACAGTTGTGTGAGAGGTTCCCTCTTTAAACATGAATTAAATGTTCAGGATGGGTCCAGCCTGAGAACCTTGGTGATTAAAGCAGTCTGTTTAAGGATGCAAGAGACGTCAGGGAAGATCCATAATTTTATACCTTTCTTCCAGGCAAGAAGCAATAACAATTATGGCTCCATCTCTGGAGCAGATCACAAGAATTTTCAGCTAACCACAGTATCCAGTCTCTATCCCTTTTTGAAAATAGTTTCTCTCTTACTTTAAGGAAGCATGGATTAGAGATTAAAACCCATTTTCTCCTTTTTTCCTTTAATCACAAAAAATATAGAGGGAGTAACAGAATAAGCAAAGGATCAAAGGAAAAAGACCAGACAGAGGATACTTGAACACAAAGCAGAAGACAAGAACAGAGCTGTTTGAGTGATAAATCTTTATTTTCAACTGTGCTAGCCAAAGAAAACCTGAATAAGTATCAACAAATTAAGAAACTTTAATTTAAATTTGTACTTTTAAGTGCAACCTTTTAAGTCACCTTTTAATCGGATGATAGGAGACTTCATTTGAGATCTTTGCTTGCATGAAAAATCTTCCAAAATTCTGAAAGCCTTTAAGTGGCTTCTATAGTAAGTAGACCCTAGATCTTTTCAATGTCCTAGATTTCTTTGAATAGTTAGGCTTCTTCAGTGGTTAGGTTTTGCTGTTGCTGGGGCTTTTCTGTGTGTTTTTTGATAATTTTGGGGTTTGAGTGGTTTTTTTTCCTAAACCACATGGAGTTGATTGGAAGTCCTGAATAAGAAGGAGAAGCAAGAAAGGATTGAAGGGTGATCTCTCTATACATTGTAATGTTCACATAAAGGAGTAAACTAAGATAGGCTTTCTCTTGGTACACCTGCAACTTGCCAGATCAGCAAATGGAGATCGATGAGTTGCAGGATGCTGGTAAATAAAAAAACCTGAAATAGGCCTTCAACAGCTTAAGCAAGTTGGTCCAGAACATTATTTTAATTTGTTATTGTAAATGTATATCTGATGTCTTAAACCAAAAACCTTATGAATAATTCTCCTCCTAAATCAAAATACTGCCTTGTATATAGCACATTTTCATCATTTGTTCACTTATGCTGTGCCACATCACAAATGAGGTTCTGAATGAAGTCAAAGATGGCCAGCTTGATGAAACCCTGCTGACATTAGAGTTTTAGAAATAGGAATAGTACTGTGTGCTTCTTCTGGAAGCCTGCATGAACATCCCAATGAATTTTTTAGGACTGTTAGTTTTGCTTAGCCCCCTTTTCTCAGAAGCCAGATAGTATTTTTACTCAAATTTAAGTCTTCAGTGGTGAACAGTGCTTCTCACTAATAAGTGGCTATTCATCCTGTGACAGCTGAAATTTTCTCTGTTTGATCCTATGCTCTCACAGATGTGTAGAATTTAAATATGCTCATTTTTAGAGGTTCTTTTAGCTTTTGTTTTTTAATTATGAAAAATAGAAGGTAAAGGTAATGCAGCAGTTGCAATGAAGTGTTCAGATTTCTAGCTGTTAACAGAAGTGTGTATACTTCTGGTTTTGATATTGAGTTGAGAAAATAATCTGACAACTTATTTTTACACCACTTAAATATTGGTGTGGGATTTTTTTAAGTTTCACTGTTGTTAGGTATGATGCACAGAAGCAGGGTGAGAAAGTGATTTCATGCTCTATTTCTCCAGATGAAGTTTAGTGCTTTGTTGACAAATACTGACATGTAAACCCAAATTGCAACTGCCCAGGTCTAACAATGGTATATTAAAAAATTGTTTACAGAAGCCAGAGGTGGAATTTTATGGGCCCCACAAAACTTTTGAAATTAGTTGATATCTTATCCTGAAACAGGTTAGCTTGAAAAAAATTAATCTTTATTGATTTTAGTACTTCTAAGATTTGTACTTCTAACTGGTTTATATGTTTTTAAATAGGTTATTTGGTGACAATTTTTTAATAATATTGAACCAAAAAAAAGTTTAAAAAAATGGGGACCATGTTGGAATTTTATTTTCTTGATTGTCTACTGTCTATCAAATAGGCTTACAGTACTTGGCAGGATATAAAAGGACTAAGTTATCTAATCCATGGATATCAGAATTCATCCATAGCTTTACTTTTGAAATCTCTAGAGTAACTCTGTCTTTGCTATTGCTTAACCCAGAATTTTACCACATGACTATTTTTGGTTTTGGTTTTGTGTTTGTGGGTTTATTGTAGTATTCATGGCTCTATCCATGGCTCATGATGTCTCTGAGAACAGAGCAGACAGGAATGAAAACTTCTCCAGCCAGCATCAGTGGCACTGATATACCAGTACTGATGTATCAGTCCAGCCTCAGCCTTTAATGATTAGCTTATTGCAGCTGGGCTTCTTACTAGATAGAGACATTTCCTACATGCAATTGAAGAAAACACAGTTTTAATTGGAAGTAAAACAAATAAATAAATGCTGCATATTTTTACTGGGAAAAGGCTTCTTTAAAAAAATTTTATCCAGCTCTACTCAAAGTCATTTATGGCTGTGATTTTTTTTCCTACTTCATAATTTCAAAAAAGATTGTCACCTATTATTATAGCAAAGTATTATATCAGGCTGGTTATCTGGCCAGATATATACTTCTGAGCTATTTCTAGTGTTTTATATTTATCTTTGTTTCCTGAGCTAGCTCTGTGAAGATGGAATTTGATTCCATTAGAAAAGTGAATACTGTGGGTTGTATATTGTTAACACACAACTGTGGAGAATGATAAAAATTAGGTTATTAGTTATTAGCAGCAAAACATTTAATAATGTATCAGATAACATTATCAAAAGGTTTATGTAGTTGCCTATG